AGTACACACTTTATTTGGTTTATCTATTCTCATCCCCACAACCCTACATCAGGGTATGCCAGTCTGTTCCATGCCTCCATGCTTTGGTTCATATTTTATTGGTCAATTCATTTTGTTCATTAGATTCCACAAATAAGTGAGATCATGTGATATTTGTCTTTCTCATATTGTCTTATTTCACTTAGTATAATAGCTGACATATGTTGTAGCAATATCTTTACAGACACAGCTTTGAGGGGGATGGAGACTAAAGAGAAAATAAACTAATGGAACTAAATCAAAATAAAAAGCTCCTACACAACAAAAGAAACCATCAACAAAACAACTGCGTGGGAAAACATATTTGCCAATGCTATTTCAGATAAGGGTTTCATAAATATAATTTTTTTCATAAGTTTAAATAAATTTAGTTTCTGCAAGATCATCTTCCCAGCACACTTCTGTCACTGAGTTTATCCTGTCTTATTTTGCCAATTCTTCTCTCTGGGTCCCAGCCGCAGATTTTTGACTGCTTGACTCTCTTTCGTTCTCTCTCTTCTCATTCCCATTTCCTCCAAGGTAGACAAGTTCTTTAAATTGTCCCAACTGTAGCCTTCATTTATCAGCATCAGTAAGCCCCCTGGATTTGCTCTCTGCAGTCTAAAAGAGAAACATTTTTGTACCAAAAATTCCAGCAGCTCAGTGCTGAGCTTCTTAAAAACATATATATATATATATGGGAAATGCATATAAGTACACACTTTATTTGGTTTATCTATTCTCATCCCCACAACCCTACATCAGGGTATGCCAGTCTGTTCCATGCCTCCATGCTTTGGTTCATATTTTATTGGTCAATTCATTTTGTTCATTAGATTCCACAAATAAGTGAGATCATGTGATATTTGTATTTCTCATATTGGCTTATTTCACTTAGCATAATATTCTCCAGCTCCACCCATACTGTCCCAAAGGGTAAGAGATCCCTCATTTTTACACCTGCATAGTATTCCATTGTGTGACTATTCCACAGCTTTTTTTATCCGCTTATTTACTGATGGGCACTTGGACTGTTTCCAAATCTTAGCTATTGTAAATAACACTGTTGTAGTAAATAACATAGGGGTGCATATATTCTTTCTGATTGGTATTTTGGGGTGTTTAGGATATATTCCCAAAACTGGGATCTCTGGGTCAAACGGGAGTTCCATTTTTAATTTTTTGAGGAAATTCCATACTGTTTATCAGAGTGGCTTCACCAATCTGCATTCCCACCAGCAGTGAACTAGTGTTCCCTTTTCCCCACAACCTTGACAGCACTTGTTGTTTGTTGATTTTTTGATGATAGCCATTCTGACCAGTGTGCAGTGATATCTCCTTGTGGTTTCAACTTGCATTTCTCTAATGATTAGTGACTGAGCATTTTTTCATGTGTCTCTTGGCCATTTGTATCTCCTCTTTGGAGAAATATATATTTGAGTCTTCTGCCTTTTTAAAAATAGGATTGTTTGTCTTCCTTTTGTGGAGTTGTATGAGTGCTTTATATAGCTTGGATATTAATCCCTTATCAGATGTATCTTTGGCAAATATGTTCTCCCATATAGTGGGTTCCCTTTTAAATTTTATGGCTGTTTCTTTTGCTGTGCAGATGTTTTTTATTTTGATGTAACCCCATTATTTTCGTCTTAGTTTCCTTTGACCTAGGAGAAGTATCAGCAAAAATTCTGCTACATAAGATTTCTGAAATTTTACTGCCTATGTTTTCTTCTAAGATTTTTATGGTTTTATGCCTTACACTAAAGTCATTTATCCATTTTGAGTTTATTTTTATGTATTGTGTAAGTTGGTGGTCTAGTTTCATCTTTTTGCATGTGTCTGTTGAGTTTTCCCAACACCATTTGCTGAAGAGGCTGTCTTTACTCCATTGTATGTTCTTGCCTCCTTTGTCAAATATTAATTGACTGTAATGGTGTGGGTCAATTTCTGGGGTCTCTGTTCTGATATATTGGTCTATGTGCCAGTTCTTGTGCCAGTACCAGGCAATTTTAGTTATAATGTCTTTATAGTATAGTTTGATATCAGGTAATGTGATCCCTCCAACTTTGTTCTTCTTTCTCAAGATTGTTGCAGCTATTCAGGGTCTTTTTTGGTTCCATATAAATTTTTAGAGTATTTGTTCTAGTTCTGTTAAGTATGCCACTGTTATTTTAATAGGAATTTCATTGAATCTATAGATTTCTCTGAGTAGTATAGACATTTTAATGATATTAATTCTTCTAATCCATGAACATGGTATACATTTTTATTTATTTTTTTTTGTATCTTCCTCTATCTCTTTCTTCAATGTCCTATAGTTTTCAAAGTACAGGTATTTTACCTCCTTGGTTAAGTTTATTCCTAGGTATTTTATTTATTTTTTGTTGCAATGGTAAATGGAATTTTTTTTTCAGTTTCTCTTTCAGAGAGTTCATTATTGGTGTATAAAGATGACATTGGTTTGTGGATGTTGATTTTGTATCCTGCTACCTTGCCAAATTCATTTACTAAGTCTAGTAGTTTCCTGGTTGAGTCAGTAGGGTGTTCTATATACAATATTACTTCCTCCTTTCCAATTTGGATGCCTTTTATCCCTTATTCTTGTCTGATTGCTATAAGATTGATGAACCCTAGCCAGGCTCATCAAGAAACAAAGAAAGAGGACCCAAATAAATAAAACCAGAAATGAAAGTGGTGCTATAACAATCAACACAACAGAAATAAAAATGTGTGTAAACAAATACTATGAACAACTATATGCCAGCAAACTGGGCAACCTGGATGAAATGGACAAATTCCTAGAAACAAACAATCGTCCAAAACTTAATCAGGAAGAATCAGAAAACCAGATTAGGCCAATAACAACTGATAAAATTGAAGCGGTAATTAAAAAACTCCCAGCAATGCCCTAACCGGTTTGGCTCAGTGGATAATGTCAGCCTGCAGACTGAAAGGTCCCTGGTTTGATTCTGGTCAAAGGCATGTATCTTGGTTGAGGGCACATCCCCAGTAGGAGATGTTCAGGAAGCAGCTGATCAATGTTTCTCTCTCATCGATATTTCTAACTCTCTATCCCTCTCTCTTCCTCTCTGTAAAAAATCAATAAAATATATTAAACAAACAAACAAATAAACAAACAAACAAAAAACTCCCAGCAAACAAAAGTCCTGGACTGGATGGATTTACAGGAGAATTTTACCAAATATTCAAAAAATAACTAACAACCATCCTCCTTAAACTATTCCAAAAAATTTAAGAGAACGGAACACTTCCAAGCTCTTTTGACAAAGCCAGCATTATCCTAATTCCAAAACAAAATACAGACACTACAAAAAAAATTACAGCCCAATATTCCTGATGAACATAGATGCTAAAATCCTCAACAACAAGCATATGTCAACATAATAAAGGACATATATGACAAATCTACAGCCAACATAATACTCAATGGTCAACAACTAAAAGTGTTTCCCTTAAGAGCAGGAACAAGACAAGGATGTCCACTTTCATCACTCTTATTCAACACTATAGTCTCAGTGCATGAAATTCATGCACGGGTAGGGTACTTAGGCCTGACTGGCAATCGGGGCTAATCTGCAAGATGACCAGTGGGGTAATCGGGGGGGCCTCCGCTGGCACCCACCTTGAGGTGACCAGAGGGGCGATTGGGGGGCAGCGCCAGCCCACTCGCAGGCCTGCCTCACCCCTTACTGCCATCCACCCAGCTGCCGGTCCTGCTCCTGTCCACTACCGCTGGTTGCCTCCCTCTGAGGGGCGACTGGCAGGGTGATCAGAGGCCCCCTGCTGGCACCCACCTTGGCTGGCCTGGGGCCTGTGGGCTGGGGCAGCTCCTCCATTGAGCATCTGCCCCCGGTGGTCAGTGCATGTCATAGTGACCGATTGTTCCACTGGTCATTCTGCTGTTTGGTCAATTTGCATGTTAGGCTTTTATTATATAGGATAGTACTGGAAGTGTTGAGGGTTTTTTTTTTTAATAGTTTATAAAAATATATCTTTATTGGTTTCAGAGAAATAGAGAGAAAGAGAAATACAGAAACATCAATGATGAGAGATAATCACTGATGGGCTGCCTCCTGCATGCCCCCTACTGGGAACTGAGCCTGCAACCCAGGCATGTGCCCTTGACTGGAATTGAATCTGGGACCCTTCAGTCCATAGGCCGACGCTTTATCTACTGAGCCAAACCAGCCAGGTCAGTGCTTAGATGTTGATATGCTAAATGGGTGAACAACGTAGATAGAAAATTTTCTCACAAGGCAATAGCCTGGCTTATGAAGCAACTGTCTTGATGCATAGTCCCATTTTGCATTTGTTCTTTTATTTGAGTGTCATTAAATACCTAATCTCTGCACATACATGTTTCAGGCAGATAGAGGCATAACTGACTAGAGTGCATCCTTATATTTTCAACTAGAGTGGGAAAAGAAAAAGAAAAATTTTCAAATGATCTCCTTAATTTTAGTTATAAAGCCAAAATCCAATTTCATAGGAATTCACCTAACAGCTCAACTTACTTTTGCTTTTTATTTCATCTTCTTTTCACTCTACCTTCTGCCAAAACTTCCAACAACAACAACTAAAACTTAAATATTATACATCCTTAAAAAGTATGCACACAATTGATACTTCATTCTGGTGGTAAAATGACAGTACTAAGGCAGAATAAAGAGAGATGATGGTATAACTGAAATTGAAGCATAAGCTCCCCAGTTAGCACAATTTGTTTTATTAGTAATTGTTGTGTTAATATTTACAACAAATTATTGTCCACATAGCTGTTGTAGAAAATGAAAGAATGAAGTGAATTTCCTTTAGATCATGGCAGCTCCAAAGTTACCTTCATCAGATTACCAGGCCAGAACTCTTTCTATGCCATACTGTGGGCCACGGGGTAGGGGTGGGAGGATATTGAAAGGGAGCAGGTATTCCCCAGAAATATAAACACAGTATTGAGCAGTCATGAGCTTGGCCCATGTGTGGGTTCTCTTCAGCTGCATCTTCAATGACAAATATCTCAGTGGCATTGAAAGCTGCTTGGGAACCTGCTCCAGTCAGTGACCATGGAGGCTGACAGCTCTGGCTGAGGGAGTCTGGCCCCTCATTAGAAATAAACCTCTGAGTTCAAGAAGGGTAGAGGGAGAATATTTAGTCCTTCCTCCTCTCTTTTTTACATCTTAACAGGGTACATTATTTGGCAGTCCAGATAATGAATCAGGAGTGTATCGAAATTAGCATGACATTCATTTATCAGAGAAAAAATGTTCAATTTTCATCTCCAGTTTGTATTATAGCCAAGGGCAGTGTCTCTATGTTTGTGTATAAATACATCCATCCTCTGTTTGTCTTCTGTCCAGAGACACTGTAGGCAAATCTGCTTTAATAAATGATTTTTTAAAGTGCTTTGCAATTCATACATAGTTGGTTATCCATGTAAAAGGTTTTTACACAAACAGCTAATAGCAAATGATAATGCATAATGCTACTTGGTGTCTATATGAGTAACAGATTTACAATAGACTGTTTCCCTGCTCATTAAATATCTGTCTTTAAAACCTATATTTACAGTTAAAATACTTATACCATATGGTTTAGGAAGGATTGTCCCTCTGTGGTCTTGAACTTTATTGAAAGAATCATTATTTATATGTAATGTAAATTTATGAATGGAAAACATTTATATTAAGTATTCTTAGTGGCAAATAACATAAAAGAGAGTGGCTATATTCAGAACAGTAGGAAATAGAGACAAATAGACTAGATAAAGGAAACTATTTCATAAAATGGCATAAAAGCATATGGAATACATTAACAAAAACAAGATAGGTAACATGTACCACATGTTCATGAGTTTAAATGTTCATCAGGCTCCTAACTGAGCTTTTGGAAAAAGAAGGACTAGCGAACAGCATGAACTTTGCAGAGTTGGACAGACAGGGACTGAAATGACATATTGATTAAGCAGAACTAGATAATGAAGCTATGGAATCTGAAAATCATATTTCCAGGGAGTGGAAAAATATCACAGATAAAGTTTTTGTTTTTAATTTTTTAAAAATCTCTCTGACAAAGTAAAAACACATTCTATTTTTCAAGAAAAAATACTTCACATTGAATCTTATTTATATTGTTTATTCACTTTTATTCAGTACTAGAGGCCTGGTACATGAAATTATTCATGGGTGGGGTCCGTCCAGCCTGCCCCAATAGGGGCCGATGGGGCTGGGCCAGTAGTGGGGAGGGAATGCGGGAGTTTGGCCAGTGGCCCTGCTGCCGATCAGGGTGGGGAGACTGATCAGTTGTAGGGCTGGCCAGAGAGAGGGGCTATGGGAGGTTGGGGGGGCCGATTGGGGCCCCCATTGGGCCAATTGGCCGCCGCAGTGCACGTCATAGCAACTGGTTGTTCTGGTCATGCCGGTCTTTCCAGTCATTTCACCATTCTGGTCACTTGGCTTTTATATATATTTAGATTCCTTCACCCCTACTTTTACCAAACACACACATATACTTACATATATACATGCATGCAATTTGACCCTAATGCCTCTGAGATATTTGCTGTTTTTGTGGATAGTCACCAACGAACACATCAGCTAACCATAGTCCTTATTCCCAGTTGCACTTGTCACTAACTTTTAAATTGACTATTCATGGAGGACCATTTAGAGAAGTCAAGACAATAAAAAATCAGAGGCCTCTGATAATTCAGTTGACCAAATAAAGAGCATATAATAAAAGGGAATTTCTAAAACCACTTAGTTACTTTTAAGGCAAAAATGGGACCATAGAATAAGAATTTTTAATGGCTTGAGAACAAGCACATTAAAGATTAAAAATAAATAAATATAAAACAAAAAAGAGAGAAAATGCAAATAAGTTAACAAAATAATCATGGGGATATAAAGTACAGTGTAGGGCGCGGCTATAGGGTAAGCCTCGGACTGACCTGTTGGCAAAGCCACAAACAAGTCCCAGCTTAGAGGGCACAGTCCTCTTAGCATAATTAGGCTTCTAATGGGCTGTGGGAGGTGCAGCAAGTGCTGCCAAAACAAGTGAAACTCACAAGAACATTGTAACTATGGTGACCACTACCTTGTTTACCTCTGGTTATAAAATAAAGGCTCAGCTTGCCGTCTGGGACCTCTCTGTGTCCTCAAAACTTTAGCCATCACTGACCTAGACCCAGCTTATTCTCTCTGTCTGTCATTTCTTCATCCTTTGGCTGCCCTCACTCAGACTTTTGAACCCTTGGCTGAGCTGGCTCAGCACAGTACAGCATAGGAAATATAGTAAATAATATTGTAATAACGATGTATGGTGAGAGTTGGGTACTAGAAACATCAAGGGGAACACTTTGTAAAGTGAATGATTGTCTAATCACTACCTGTATACCTGAAACTAATACAACATAATATTTAATGTAAACTTTAATTGAAATATATAATTTTTAATTTTTTTATTAAGACATTACATATGTGTCCTTATCCTCCTATTGCCCCTCCCCCCCCCATGCTCATGGCCTCACCCCTTGGTGTCTGTGTCCATTGGTTATGCTTATATGCATGCATACAAGTCCTTTGGCTGATCTCTCCCCCTTATCCCCACCCTCCCCTACCTTCCCTCTGAGGTTTAAACATCTGATCAATGATTCTCAGTATCTGTATATGTTTTTGCTCATCAGTTTATGTAGTTCATTATAATCCACAAATGAGTGAGATCATGTGATATTTATCTTTCTCTGACTGATTTATTTTGCTTAGCATAATGCTCTCCAGTTCCATCCATGCTATTGCAAATGGTAGGAGATCCACCTTTTTACAGCAGTGTAGTATTCCATTGTGTAGATGTACCACAGTTTTCTAAGCCACTCATCTGTTGATGGGCACTTAGGCTGTTTCCAAACATTAGCTACTGTAAATTGTGCTGCTATGAACATACGGGTACATATATCTTTTCTGATTGGTGTTTCTAGTTTCTTGGGATATATTCCTAGAAGTGGAATCACTGGGTCAAAATGGGAATTCCATTTTTAGGTTTTTGAGGAAACTTCATACTGTTTTCCACAGTGGCTGCACCAGCCTGCATTCCCACCTTTTTCTCTGCATCCTCTCCAGCACTTGTCATTTATTGATTTGTTGATGATAGCCATTCTGACAGGTGTGAGATGATACCTCATTGTCATTTTGATTTGCATCTCTCAGATGATTAGTGACTTTGAGCATGCTTTCATATGTCTCTTGGCCTTCCTTATGTCCTCTTTCAAAAAGTATCTATTTAGGTCCGTTGCCCATTTTTTGATTTGGTTGTTTATCTTCCTTTTGTTAAGTTGTATGAGTACCTTGTAAATGTTGAAGATTAAACACTTATTGGAGATAACATTAGCACAGTGGTTCTCAACCTGTGGGTCGTGACCCCTTTGGGGGTCGAACGACCATTTCACAGGGGTCACCTAAGACCATCGGAAAACACATATATAATCCTATATTGTTAAAAGTGTCTACAAAGGTCCTTTGCCCATTTTTTATTGGATCATTTATCTTCGTTTTGTTAAGTTGTATGAGTTCTCTGTAAGTATTGGAGATTAAACCCTTATTTGAAATAGCATTAGCAAATATGTTCTCCCATGCAGCGGGCTCCCTTTTTGTTTTGTTGATGGTTTTTTTTTTTTTTGCTTGTTTGTTGATTGGTTCTTTTGCTATGCAGAAGCTTTTTATTTTGATGTAGTACCGTTTGTTTATTTTCTCTTTAGTTTCCATTGCCCTAGGAGCTGTATCGGTGACGATATTGCTTCAGCATAGGTCTGAGATTTTGCTTCCTGTGGATTCCTCTAATTTTTTATGGTTTCCCATCTTACGTTTAAGTCCTTCACTCATTTTGAGTTTACTTTTACGTATGGTGTAACTTGGTGGTCTAGTTTCATTTTTTTCATTTATCTATCCAAGTTTCCCAACACCATTTATTGAAGAGACTGTCTTGACTCTGTTGTATGCCTCCTTTGTCAAATATTGAGCATAGTGGTTTGGGTCAATTTCTGGGTTCTCTATTCCATTCCATTGGTCTATATGTCTGTTCTTGTTCCAGTACCAGGCACTTTTGAAAACAGTGGCTTTGTAGTACAGGTTGATATCTGGTATTGAGACCTCTCCTCCTTTGTTCTTCTCTCAGGATTGCTGCAGCTATTCTGGGTCTTATTCCAGATGAATTTTTGGAGAGTTCATTCTAGGTCTGTGAAATATACTGTTGGTATTTTAATGGGAAGTGCATTGCATCTATAGATTGCATAAGGTAGTATGGACATTTTAATGATGTTGATTCTACCAATCCATGAACATAGTATGTCCTTCCATTTCTTTATGTCTTCCTCTATCTCTTTTTACAGTGTCCTGTAGTTTTCTGAGTACATGTCCTTTACCTCCTTAGTTAAGTTTATTCCTAGATATCTTAATTTTTTTAGTGCAATGGTAAATGGGATTTTTTTTTTAGTCTCTCTTTCTAAGTTCACTATTGGTGTATAAAAATTCCATTGATTTCTTGGCATTAATTTTTTATCCTGCTACTTTGCCGAATCTATTTATTAAGTCTAATAATTTTTTTGATTGAGTCTTTTATGTACAATATCATGTCATCTGTGAATAATGACAGTTTTACTTCTTCTTTTCAATTTGGATGCCTTATATTTCTTCTTGTCTGAATGCTGTGGCTAGCACTTCCAGTTCTATGTCGAGCAAAAGTGGTGAAAGCGGGCATCCGTGTCTCATTCCAGTTCTTAGGGGAAATGGTTTTAATTTTTGCCCATTGAGTATAATGTTGGCTATAGGTGTCATATAAGTCCTTTATTATGTTGAGGTATGATCCCTTTATTCCTATTTTGCTAGTGCATTTTATCAGAAAAGGATGTTGAATTTTGTCAAATGCCTTTTCTGCACCAATTGATATGATTATGTGATTTTTATCTCTCAATTCGTTTATGTGATGTATC